TTAAAAAGAATTCATTTGAATCAGTTCTAATGAGATGGATGAAACTGGAGCCCATTATACAGAGCGAAGTAAGCCAGAAAGATAAAGACCATTACAGTATACTAACACATATATATGGAATTTAGAAAGATGGTAACGATAACCCTATATGCAAAAAAAGAAAAAGAGACTCAGATGTATAGAACAGACTTGTGGACTCTATGGGAGAACCCGGGGGTGGGATGTTTCAAGAGAACAGCATCGAAACATGTATATCTAGGGTGAAACAGATCACCAGCCCAGGTTGGATGCATGAGACAAGTGCTCAGGCCTGGTGCACTGGGAGGACCCAGAGGGATGGGGTGGAGAGGGAGGTGGGAGGGGGGACTGGGATGGGGAATACATGTAAATCCATGGCTAATTCAATGTATGACAAAAACCACTGCAATGCTGTAAAGTAATTAGCCTCCAACTAATAAAAATAATGGAAAAAAAATAAAAAATAAAATTCTTGCTTTTCTTTTAATGACAATAGCATTGTTAAAGGTGCTGAGTTCTCTCTTAATTTCTACTAAACTAACAGAATTAAAATTAAAAGCAAAGTCCTATGTCTCATAACCTTGTCTGAGATTTTTATTCAATGCCTCTTGGTGCAATTAGGTCCCAGGAGTGGTTTGTGCTGAGCCTAGCGGTTCAGTTGTGTCCAGCTCTTTGCAAGCCCATGGGCCCCAGGCTCCTCTGTCCATGGGATGCTGCAGGCAAGTCTACTGGAGTAAGTTGCCATGCCCTGCTCCAGGGGATCTTCCCAACCTGAGGATCGAACCCAGGTCTCTCTCATTGCTAGTGGGTTCTTTACAGTCTAAGCTACTAGGGAAGCCTAAGAATGGTTTAGTTGCCCTATTTATTTAATCACCTTAATTTCATTAAGATTTGTTCCATAGAGCTTCATGGATATACTTTGATCAACTTCTAGGATCCAATAGATTAAATTTACTCTTGTCATTAAACAATGAATTCATTTTCCTAAGATTTAGTAGTAGAACCCCTAAGAGTTTTCCCCCACCACATACCTGGGATCGATATTTATTTTGCTGGTTTTCAAATGGCATATCACACTTCTTCATTTCTATAATTACCTTACATTTCTGTTTCATTATTTACTTTTGTGTGTTCAATACTTTTTATTTCTTTCTGAAAAGTATATGTTTGTTTTTGCTTTCTAATTTAATTTTTTATTTTACATTTTGGGCTGAGGTGACACAGTGGTGAAGAATCTGCTTGCCAATGTAGGAGATGCAAGAGATGTAGTTTCGATCCCTGAGTCGGGAATATCCCCTGAAGCAGGAAATGGAAACCCACTCCACCCCAGTATTTTTGCCTGGAGTATCCCATGGACAGAGGAGCCTGGTGGGCTACAGTCCATGGGGTCTCAGAGAGTTGGACACAACTGATGCAACTTAGCACCATAAACTGGGTTTCCCTGATAGATCAGCTGGTAAAGAATCCAATGCAATGCAGGAGACCCTGGTTTGTATTTTTTGTTTTTTTTTTTAAATTTTATTTGTTTATTTATTAATTTATTGCCATGCATGAGACATCTTAGTTCCCTGACCAGGGATTGAACCCATTCCCCTTGCATTAGCAGCATGGTGTCCTAGCCAGTGGACCTCCAAGTCCCAATTACCCATATTTTTATTTTTAAAAAACTGTTTTTCATTCTAAAAATATAAATTAAGTGCTTCAGTTTCTAGTGAGTCTTACACAGTCACGAAACTGTTCCAGGTTGCCCAGACTTCTGTAAGTATCAGATGTTCCAAGACTGCTATTCACTGGGAATATAATTTCTTCTCTGTCCATCCACAGATACAGCAGAGTACTGTTTGTGATATTTCATAAGAACATTACCCAAGCACTTTTGCCTCTTCGTTCTGCATGCTTTCTTTCCATACTTTATTGTAAGCTTTTGATTTTATAATCATCAGAACATGGCACCTACGAGTTAGACAAAAACTATAGGGCACAGGCAATAAAAACTGAAGTAAACCTTAACTGTTTGAAACCAAGACCAACCTCAAAATTCGAAGATAATGTTTATTCAGCCTAAAGAGGAATGGAAGTGGGTCATTTGTAGAGATGTGGGTGGCTCTAGAGTCTGTCATGCAGAGTGAAGCAAGTCAGATAGAGAAAAACAAATGTTGGATATTGCCCCATGTATGTGGAATCTAGAAAAATGGTACAGGTGAGCTTAGTTCCAGGGCAGGAATAGAGATGCAGATGTAGAGAACATATCTGTGGACACAAGAGGGGAAGGAGAAGATGGGACAATTTGTGAGAGTAGGATTGACACATATACACAGCCATGTGAAAACAGCTAGCTAGTGGGAAGCTGCCGTGTAACACGGGGAGCTCAGCTTAGCTCTCTGTAATGTCCTAGGCAGGTGGCGTGGNACAGTTCATAGCATTGCAAAGAGTTGGACACGACCAAAATGACTTAGCCCACATGCATAGCAGATTCACTTCTTTGTCTAACAGAAACTGACACAATGCTGTAAGGCAATTATACTCCAATAAAATAAATAAATATTAATAAATATAAAAAATGAAGATAATGATAAATTTGTACATCTTGTATAGCACAAAGCACTCGGCTTGCAGTTGTTGTTGCTGTTTAGTCACCAAATTGTGTCTGACTTTTTGTGACCCCATGGACTATAGTCTGCCAGGCTCTTCTGTCCTTGGGATTATCCCAGTGAGAATACTGGAATGGGTGGTCATTTCTTCCTCCAGGGGATCTTCTTGACCCAGGGATTGAACCCGCATCTCCTGCAGCTCCTGCATTGGTAGATGGATTCTTTTCCACTGAGCCATCTTAATTTGAGTTCCCCCCAAAGCAGATTCTGAGTCAAGAACTTGAGTGCAAATATTTATTTGGAAAATAATCCCAGAAGACTCAGTGAGTGTTTGGGGAAGAAGGTGTGGATGAGTAGGGATCCTGGTGAGAACACACCCCAGAGCTACCTCACTCAGAGGGATGAAGTTGGAACATTCACCCAACAAGCCCAGTCCCTCACTAGCCAAAAGTCGTTCTTGGGATGTCAACTCCCAGCACTTCCTCGTTACACCATCTGCAGCCTGCTCCAGTGATCAGATAAAGCCTTGGTGCACAGAGACACAGGTTGTAGAGGTGAGAGATGGTCAGTGTGCTTGGGAGGTGTCCACCAACCTGCTGGTGACACCCTGCAGGTGGGCTGTGCAGAATGAATGGTGTGTTTACTGATGGAAATGATCCAGCACATGGGTGGGGGGATTCTGCTGCAGGAGACTGGGAAGAATTGATGAATGGCTGAACGAAGGAGAGGGGATAAGATCCAGGGTGCAAAGGAGGGGCTGACCTTGACCAGGACCCTGGACAGCTCCTCTGTTTCCTTTCTGATTGATTTAGGATGGCTGAAGTTGGGGCAAATCTCACCCTGGTCTCTGAGTTCCTACTCCTGGGCCTCTCGGAAGACCCCAAGCAACAGCAGCTGCTGTTCATACTCTTCCTGAGCATGTATCTGGTCACGCAACTGGGGAACCTGTCCATTATCCTGGCCATCGCCACTGACATCCGGCTCCACACGCCCATGTACTTCTTCCTGGCCAACCTGGCCTTCGTGGACATTTGCTTCACCTCCACCACCATCCCCAAGATGCTGGCCAACCACGTGTCAGGACACAAAGGGATTCCTTATGCTGGCTGCCTGGCCCAGATGTTCTTCTTCATCTGGTTCGCCGGCATCGACAGCTTCCTGCTGACCGCCATGGCCTATGACCGCTATGCGGCCATCTGTCACCCTCTACACTATGCCATGTCTGTGACACCACAGCTCTGTAGCCTCCTGGTGGCAGCGTCCTGGACTGCAGCCTTCGGGAATGCCCTGACCCACACAGTACTACTGACCCGTCTCTCATTCTGCACCCACAACCGGATCCCCCATTTCTTCTGTGACCTGAGTCCTCTGCTGAAGCTCGCCTGCTCTGACACCTTTCTCAACAATGCAATGGTATACACTGTGGGCGCCCTGCCTACCATCACCCCCTTTGTGGGCATCTTGGTCTCCTACACACGCATCTTTGCTGCCGTTTTAAGGATCCCATCCACGAGAGGCAAGCGGAAGGCTTTCTCTACCTGTGGCTCTCATCTCTCTGTGGTGTCCCTGTTCTACGGCACCATCATTGGGGTTTATTTCAGCCCCATGTCTTCCCATACAGCCCAGAAGGACACAGTCGCTGCAGTGATGTACACTGTGGTCACTCCCATGCTGAACCCCTTCATCTACAGCCTACGCAACAGCGACATAAAGGGCGCCTTGGGGGCCCTCATCAGCAGGAGGCCAGCTTTTATTCAGTGACCACAGCATTGAGGCATCTGAGTGTCCAAATTCAGCACGCATCTGTCCTGAACTTTCCTGCACAGTCCCAATCTTAGATAGTTCCTACATCTCACTCTTGGTTCATTTGTTTATTACTTTATCCTACCAACAGATATTTATTGAATATCTGTTACATTTTACTATTGGTTGGTTACTATTTACACACTTTCAAGAGTCTGGCAGGGGACAAACAAAATCTCTGACCTTGTGGCACTTAATTGAAGTCTAAAGAACACATCATGGTTAAAAGGAAGCACTCTGGAAACCAGACAGACCAGGATTCAAATGCTACTTTAGGTTAAGGTCAGGTTAAGCTGCTGTAACAAAGAGACACAAAGGCAAAAACTCAAAGGGTGTAAAGTTTTGCAGACTCTTGGATTTTTTTAGCAACTGAGTTCCTTCAAGAAACAGCAGACCAGAAGGACACAGTCGCTGCAGTGATGTACACTGTGGTCACTCCCATGCTGAACCCCTTCATCTACAGCCTACGCAACAGCGACATAAAGGGCGCCTTGGGGGCCCTCATCAGCAGGAGGCCAGTTTTTATTCAGTGACCACAGCATTGAGGCATCTGAGTGTCCAAATTCAGCACGCATCTGTCCTGAACTTTCCTGCACAGTCCCAATCTTAGATAGTTCCTACATCTCACTCTTGGTTCATTTGTTTATTACTTTATCCTACCAACAGATATTTATTGAATATCTGTTACATTTTACTATTGGTTGGTTACTATTTACACACTTTCAAGAGTCTGGCAGGGGACAAACAAAATCTCTGACCTTGTGGCACTTAATTGAAGTCTAAAGAACACATCATGGTTAAAAGGAAGCACTCTGGAAACCAGACAGACCAGGATTCAAATGCTACTTTAGGTTAAGGTCAGGTTAAGCTGCTGTAACAAAGAGACACAAAGGCAAAAACTCAAAGGGTGTAAAGTTTTGCAGACTCTTGGATTTTTTTAGCAACTGAGTTCCTTCAAGAAACAGCAGGCTTCTGGTCTAGTACTTCTAGTTGCTAGGAACAATGTTCAGTGTTCTTTTCTAGCCAAAGTTCTTAAGTCTATTTAATTCAATTTATTTGGTTTCTTGAACTACCTACATCTCTGTCATTCTCTGTTAATGGTCATTTGAAATAAGAGCCTTGGGCATGAGGCAAAATCCCTATTTAAACTGTTTGAGAGAAGAGAAAGTTGTTGGCTCTTCCAATCATGTGGTATTTCTGACTTTCAAAACTGGCTTATTCTTGGGTCAGATCACCTCTTTCTTGTGATTCCTTGCTGCAAGCAGCAAGGAGCAGTCAACTTATGGTGGTATTCTAACTCTTCCCAATCACTTCTAGAAACACAGACTCAGTAGACTTATGGTCTACCTTTCCAGTGGGTTATAACAGATGATGACATTACCAAGTATTGTTCTTTGACATAACAAGGTTCACCAGCTTTGCAGTCTGCAATATTTGGGTCCTTGCCACCAGGTCACTAGACTAGTGCAACTAATTTTTTATTTTGTGATTAGAACACTCCACTTCTGATACTAATTTTTGTGTTAGGATGAATAACCTATTTGCTATATTAGGGCTTCTATAACAAAATACCACAAATTGTCAACATATGGGTTAAATAAAGAAATGTGTTGTCCTCCACTTCTGGAGACCCTAAGTCGAAATCAAGGTACTAGAGGTTGGTTTCTTCTGAGGTATAAGGGAATGTCTACTCCATGCCTCTCTCCCCACCTGGTGGTTTACTAGCTCTCTTTGACGTCCCTGACTTGTAGACACCTGCTTTCATCTTTACAGGTATGCACGTATTCCTGTGTGCATGTCTATCTCTAAATATTCCCTTTTTATAAGGACACCAGTGACTTTGGATTAGGAATCCATTTTACTCTAACATGACCTCATCTTAACGGTTATATCTGCATGTATGCATGCTCAGTCACTCTGTCAGGTCTGACTCTTTGCGACCCCTGGGCTGTAGCCCGCCATGCTCCTCTATCCATGGAATTTTCCAGGCAAGAATACTGGAGTGGGGTGTCATTTCCTACTTCAGGGGATTTTCCCTACCCAGGGATCGAACCCGCGTCCCCTGTGTCTCCTGCATTGCAGGCGGATTCTTTACCGCTGAGTCATCAGGGAAGGCCCTTTATATCTGCAGCAGTCTTATTTCCAAATAAGGTCACATTCTGAAATATTGAGGGTTAGGATTTCAACAAATGAATTTGGGAAATGGACCTAATTCCATCTACAACATCTGCTAAAAACAAAAAAAAAGACAAAAAGTAATGACTCAAACAAGATAGTTTATTTCTGTCTCATGCAACAGTCAGAATTCTAGGTCAGTGGCTGATTCTGCTCCTTTCAAGCATTCAGAAACTCAGGTTCTTTATATCTTATTTCTTGCCTATTTCCCAGGACATTATTATTGTCTGTAACATTGAAGCTGTGAACCCTAGATAATTTTTGATTATTAAAAATAATAGTTTTTGATAATCTATTATCAAAAAATAATCAGAGAGGTCAGGGGAGACAAGCCCATTATCTTGAAGTGCCATGTACTTCTCACATTCCACTCTGGGTTATGAAAGTGGAAGTGTTATTTACTCAGTCCTGTTGACTCTTTGCAACTCCATGGGTTGTAGCCCACCGGGCTCCTCTGTCCACAGGATTCTCCAGGTAAGAATAATGGAGTGGGTAGCCATTCCCTTCTCCAGGGGATCTTCCCAGCCCAGGGGTCAAACCCACGTCTCCTGCATTGCAAGCAGATGCTTTACCATCTGAACCCCCAGGGAAGCCCATGGTGGTTTATAAGTAGCTGCAAAAGAAGCAGGAAGGGTCTTTACCACTGAGCCACCAGGGGAGCCCAGAGCTGTACATCAAAATAACAATACTTACCTGGCAGGAGAGATACCATGATCACAAAATGTGTTATTGATAGTTACATAATCCAGACATGTGTCATCATAGTGGGTCTTGTGACCCCTGATAAAATCAAGAAGGAATGCAATATTTTAAAGAGTTGTCTAATTAATGCTAGGAGTGTGTTGCTCTCTACAGCTGAGCAGGTATTCCTATCAGTGGGGAGGTTTGGTGATGTATAACACAGTTGTGTTACATAGATACACAGTCACAGTTGAGGAGAGACAGGAGGTCAAAGGGCAGAGATAACTTTTTATGTTTAAATTTTCATTGTCTTGTCATAAAATATGAATTTTACTTCATACCACATTTCAAAGAAGACTCTGGAGAGTCTTTTGGGCTGCAAGGAGATCAAACCAGTCCGTCCTAAAGAAAATCAGTCCTGAATATTCATTGGAAGGACTGATGCTGAAGCTGAAGCTCCAATACTTTGGCCACCTGACACGAAGAGCTGATTCATTGGAAAAGACCCTGATGCTGAGAAAGATCGAAGGTAGGAGGAGAAGAGGACAGCAGGGGATGAGATGGTTGGATAGCATCACCAACTTGATGGACATGAGTCTGAGCAAGCTCCAGGAGTCGATGATGGACGGGGAAGCCTGGCGTGCTGCAGTCCATGGGGTCTCAAGGAGTTGGACACGACTGAACTGAACATTTCATGGAAGGAGATACCCTTCTTGGGAACTCTACAGCCATCATCGTCTGATTCCTCTGGTGTGATTTAGGGACCTGGGCATTAATTTAAGGCTCAAACAGGCATAAGCTCAGTGCATGGTTTCAACATAATTCTCTGCAACACTCAGCAGGCTATTTGCTCCCAGGCAGTAGCCATACCCAAAGCTTCTTCCTGGCCAAAGTATTTGTATTGCTTGGTTTACCCAGGTCTCTTTATCACCTGGTGGCCGGACTACCCCTTGTGGTTCTTATGATCGCAAGACATACCTTAGCAACAACCACTGGGCAATTTTGTAAAAATAAGATTTCTTACTCACGGGTTCTCAGGGGTATAGGATGCACTAGGTACCACATAGTGAAATCACAGGTAGAGAGACAGCACAGACATGGTGCTCTGCCTTTGTTAGAGTCCAAGGAGCGGGGTGCCAGAGGTTTTTCAAGCTCTCTCTTTATTGTCTAATTTAAAACCTAAGAACAAGAATGAGGGCACAGGAAGGGAGAAGTGGGGCCACTCGAGCGGTCGGTTATCAAGGTTACCCAGAACTTTCTGAAAGGAGAGCTTCATGGCTGGGGCTGATACCAACCAAGGTTCTTAGCCATCCCCGATCAATAGAAACTTAAAGAAAAAGAAATAGAAATTCAGGCAAGGCTTTATTGGGGCTCCTGCTGTAGCAAAGAGGAGTGAGAACAAGTAACAACTTCCCTTGCTTGCTCAATCCCTCCATAGGTGAGCTTGCTTGGGCGATTATTCTTTGTATAGGGTGAGGGTAGGGGTGCATCCAGCGGCTGGCCAGAGGGGTGGCTTAGGTGGTCTGCCCACCCCTTTGGTGGTGTTGAGTGCAGGGGGGATGCACAGTACCCTGCTTTTGCTCCTGACACCCACTTTTTGCTCCCGGCTCTTCAGAAGTGGCAGTAGAGGTTCTTTGGTCTTTTTGTATCTTTTGTTCATTTGCTGAAACTGTGCATACCTGCAGTTATTTTTAACCCCATATAGTTTTGTTTTTGTTTGCTCTAGAAGAGGTGTGTCCCGTTGCAAACACTGCAGCATGGCAGCAAAGGGTCCCAGGTCCCGGCCTGTCTCAGGGCAGCCTTGTTCCTCATCTGGCTCTTTATCTTAGCAACTGTGTCATACAATTGCCAGTATGTTTATTCAAGATGGATGAATTACTTCAGGCATAAAAAAAAGAGGAAAAAAATCATGCCATTTGTGACAATATGGACCTTGAGGATATTATGCTAAATGAAATAAGTCAGAGAAAGAAAACACCATTTGATCTCATTTATACAATTATATGTGGAATCTAAAAAACAATATCAGGAACTTTCCTGATGGTCCAGTGGCTAAGACTCCTCGGTCCCAATGCAGGGGACCAGGGTTCAATCCCTAGCCG